TCTCTCTGAACATTTAGAGATGCCTCCAATGCCACAGTGATGGAAAGTGTCTGAATTCAATTCCCTGTCCATTTGCACACAGATGAATTTAGTTGACTTAGCTGTTCAGTGGTGCAGAAGATAAAATGAGTATGAAATGACTATTTCCAGGCAGCCTAACCTGATTTGAACTGAAGCAATGTGGAAAAAAATGAAATACCCGTCCTGGGCCAGTTTTCTTCCTGCAGTCCCAGATTTTCTTTCCCAGCTTGGGGACTCTGAACTCAGACCTATTCAAGGCACTAGGATGCAATATGGTGATGAAATGGGGGAAGGGATAATGTTGATTTCCAACAGGCCTGGGCTCAACTCCTGGAGCTGTGTGACTTTGGGAAAAGTACTTCATCTTTCTGAACTCTGATTTTTCATCTGTCAGGTAGAGTTAAGCTTTATGTCATAGAGTTTACATGCATTGTCACATTGAATTCTAACAATATCCTATGAACTAGGTGTTAATCTCCTGTCTAGAATACCAAGGCTCAGAGAGGTTAATCACTTGACAAAGGGTCACACAGCTTAAAGTAGCAAAGCCAATCTTGGGTCCTGTGCTTGGAACTGCCACTGGTTCAATCTCACAATTTTCCCTCTAAGACTTCATCTGTGAGCTGGCCCAGACCCACCACCACCTGCCTGGGCTCCTGGACTGAGATGATGCTGACTACCTGTGCAAATCTCAGGAGTTTCTGACTGTTGCTTTCAAGCATTTTTTAAACTGGGCTTCAATAGAGGTCCACAGTAGATCAGTAAATTACAGACACCAGGAGTCCTTAGAAAGCTTAGGGCATAGTGAGTCTAGGTGAATGGAGGAGGAATTATTTGGAAAATGAGAGAATATTTGCACAACTTAAAGAATGTAATCAGTGTCCCTGAGTTGTACATGTAGAAATTGTTGCATTGGTATATGTTTTGTTGTGTATATTTTCAACAACAAGAAGAAGAAAGCTGATTGTGGATGGGAATGGGAACTACTGTATTTCCCCTTGATGATGATGACATTGGGTCTCTGTAGGGTCTGCCTGTAGCTAGCGTAGCTACAAAGAGTTACTTGCCATGCCTCATGCACGGGATAAAATGTTTGGAGGCAGCTTTGAGGTAGAGGGAGTGGGGGCACTGTAAGGAAGAGATAAGCTGGCTCTATGCCCCTTAGATGAAACACCTGTTATCATTCTTGAGGCTATTTTAGTGTCTTCCCTAGAGCCAAAACTCCTTTATTTGGGGGAAAAAATGCTAACCACATTGGGGCACTGATTCCAAAGTTTAAAATATCTCCAGGCTATGGGCTAACCTGGGATGTAGACCAGTGCTCTCCAAACTTGAGTGTCCCTTAGAGTCATTTGGTGAACTTGAGACAATATAGAACTTTGGATTCACTATTTGATATTTCAATAAAGGGATGAGGGCAATTTATTGCCATTGTGGCCCTAATCCTTCACCCTTCTCTTCTCTTTTCCTTGTGACTTTGACATTCCTTTCACCAAATGTTGTTGTTGTTAAGTGCTGTTGAGTCGGTTCCGACCCATAGCGACCCTGTACAGGGTTTTCGAGGGTGTAAATCTTTACGGGAGTAGAAAGCCTCATCTTTCTCCCGCGGAGCGGCTGGTAGTTTCGAACCGCTGACCTTAAGGTTCGCAGCCCGATTCGTAACCACTACGCAATAGTTAGTGTCTATTTCCCTGTCCTTTGAATCTCGTTTGAACTTGTGAATTGCTTTGGCTAAGACAATGTAGGGAAGTGATGTTGTGCCAGTGTGTGTCTGGTTCCTCTCTTCCACCTCTGCTACCATGGTGAGACCTTGCCCAGCCTAGCCTGTTAGAGGATGACAGACAATGTGGAGCCGAGCTGAGTCACCCTAGCCAAGACCATCTTAGATCAGTCAATCCTTGGCTGTATAAGCAAGTCCAGCCAAGATCAGCAGAGCCAAGCCCACATCCCTGAGAATAAATAACTTATTCTAAGCCACTGAGTTTTAATATGGCTTATTACACAGCCCAAACTACTAAGTACAGTATTCACCACAGAAAAAAAAAAAAAAAAAAGGAAAGCTTACTAGACCCTGTACATTTATTTTACAGTTTGGTATTATTTTAAATTACAACTCCATGAAGTTCAAGTTCATCATGATATTTTCAATGTTTTCATCTTTTAAATGTTTCTACTGTCTTTATCCAGCTCTACTTTTATCTGTCTTATATTTTTTTTATAAAACATTTTAAAAAATTGTTTCTTCTATCTTTATCCAGCCTATTTACGTATCTTTATTCGCTTCTGAATGAAATGTTATACAAAAATTTGTTGCTGACAAAGAAGCCTAAAACTTACCCTAGGGGACCTGCTTATTTTCCAGGTATCTGAGGATCAGAAGAGTGAAAGGAATTCCCAAGACACGTGTCGAGAGGGTATGACCAGGGACTCCATCTTCTCGACACACTTCCTCTGCTAACTGAAGCTACCTGAATAGGCACTCTTGAGAGGGTGAGATGGCACCTTCCCACTAAAGTCAGCATCACAGTGCCCTCCCCGCCCTCCCCCCTCCCCTCCACCTCGCAAAGGCAAAAGGAAATGAGTCCCAACAGCAGATGGAAACCCCTCACAGGTGTGTCTCCATAAAAAACTGCAAGGGCAGACCGCGACCTCCTTCCTGCCTCCCACCTTGATTCTTCATTTCATGCACACAATAGTCATATAATAAATACCCCACCAGATGTCTCTATTAATAAATTAGAATTCCCCAAAGGAGTGGGATGATGGAAGTGCTTTTGGGGCCCAGAGGCTCTGGAGCATTAAACAGCAGCAGTGTGCAGAAAATGAAAACTTTTTCTGGCCTTTCTTCTTCCCCACCCTCCTCTCTTCCCCCAGGATGCCAGCATAGGCAGGTGTCAGCAGGAAGTCTCTGTACAGCCCACTCAGTGAAAGAGGTTTTCATACATCCTGAAGGAAACACACTGAGGCAGGGAGGGACAGTCATACCACCAAACATTTCACATGTGCCCAGCTGGTGTCAAGGCCTTTTGGGGTGACATTCATCTCAACCAGATTAAAGGGGTACACAAAGGGTGCTGGGGTTCCTGCACATACCCCCAGGTTCCTGTTAACTTCTGCAGTCAGACAGAATTCCATTCTGTGCTTTCTCACACTTGCACTTTGCATGTGCTATTCCCTCTACTAGAACTTCTGGTCTCTTCCATGTCACTTCTTCCAGAAAGTCCTCCAATTCTGGACTCCATGCCTGCCTTTGTGCTCTCATAACTCAGTGTGATTCTATCAAAGCTACAAACATACTGGAGTATATTTGTTAGTGACAAGCTGGTGATTTGTTTATAGCTCTCATTCAACACACCCTCTCCTGGTTTTCTTCTACTTCATCTTTCAGCTATCCCTGTCTTCCTTGGTACTTAGCACACTGCCTAGTACACACCTGGCACTCAGTAAATGTTTATTTATCAATATAACACCAACAACAAAAAAGGTGGGAAGGAGGGAGAGAGGAAAGAAAGATGGACATGTAGTCTACTTCAACCTTCAACACTCAGGGAGTCTCTAAGAACATCAGGATGCCCTGGAGTCCCAAACTGCTCTCTTGTGATGCTCATACTTCTAATCGGGCATCACCTCACTGTCTCTCTCTGGCATGTCTGAGTAATACATTCACAATAGTCATCAAAAGGGTCTTACTAGTCAACAACAGAGCTTGTAGAGTATTCACATACTTTTTAGCAGTCAACTTGTTCAAAATTCCCATTTGACAGATAGAGAAACCGAGGCACAGAACAGGGAGAAGAGTTTCTCCAAGCCATCTGTTGTTGTTATTTAGTGCCACTGATTCCCTTCCAACACATAGTGCTGTATAGAGTTTCTGAGGCTATAAATCTTTGCAGAAGTGGAAAACCTCATCTTTCTCCCTTGGAGCAGCTGGTAGGTTTGAACTGCTGACCTTGTGGTTCCCAATGCAGTGCTTGTACTACAGAGCCACCATGCTCCTCCAGGCCATCTCGTTACATGTTTATCAGGGTTCAGTAAACCTGTAGAAGATTCTGGGCCTGAAGTAGTCATTTGGATTCCAAATTATGAAATTGCTAACTAATAAATAAGACAAAGTTGTCACCTACATGTGCACCTGATTTCGCTTGGCACTTTACAGTTTACAAACCTGTGAGTCTCATTTGCTCCCACCACAACCCTGTGAGGGAGGAAGGACAGGGGTTATCATGCCCACTGAACAAATGAGAGAGCCAGGGCTCAAAGAAATGAAGGCATTGCTCAAGGCCATATTGATGGTGAAGACTCAGACCTGAGCCTCCCTAACCCAGTGCTCCACCTGGGGCTCTGCGGTACTTACCCCACTGTGGGGAGGGGGCAGTGTTGAAAGTGTGCATGCAACAGGAAGACCGACTGATTTTGCAATTTACATCTCATTTATTGGTCGGAGCATTTAATCTGTCATGCATATTTAGGAAATGAATCCAATTTGAAGTGCCAATGTTGTGAAAAAGATGGGGTGGAAGGCATTTCATTGGGACACCAGATTGGCCTCTGATTACGTGAAGGAGACTGTGTATAACAGTTCAGGACATTGCCGAAGTTCTGTTCATCTTCAGCATTGATTAGCAGTGGCAGTTATTTGAGCTAACATGCTCTTTATCAAAGAACAGTGTTCCCCAGCAAAATGCTGCATAAACAAGATCACACACTGGTCTTGCTGAAATCCCACAAATTACTAATCAGAACTGAAGTTTAGACATTTAATCATTTTATCAGATTTTTTTGTTTTGTTTTTCTTTTTAATTCCATATTTGTCTTTTCTTGAGATCGGCATGTATTTTTAAAAAATCATTTGGAATTGGTTAGATATTTAACTTTGCTAATCCCTTGTTTAACCAACTCTTTTTAGGGACAAGCCACACAGATCAGAAAAGAGATAAAATAAGGCATGTAGAAAAATAAAAGCATCATAGAATACTCACTGTTCTTTATCACTGAAGGCAAAAAAATTGAGGCGGGTGAGAAAAATGAATAAAGTTAGCAAAAAATTATGATAATAATACTCATGTCATTTGGATGCAATAACCACATAGTTCAAATTACAACAGTCTGCTTCCAATTTTCCCCCATTCATCATGATGTCATTTCAGTAGATCTAAAATGATTCCTGGTGTGGTGCTGTAGAATCAGCATTCGACTGCAAACCTCAAGGGTGGCAGTTCAAACCCACCAGCTGCTCCTCAGAAACACTGTACAGGCTGACTATGAGGTAGAACTGACTTGACGGCACTTAACAACAACAACAAAATGAGTCTGTTTCATTGTAGGATTATCAGATTGACAGCTTTGATAAAATTGACCAGATCAATCTATTAACTGATTATTAATGTATTTGAATAATGACCTTTGGGTCACTACCAGGAATCACTTAGTTACAATATGACTGACCTTCATCAGTCTTGGTTTCTAGTAGTCAAACACTGGGGGTAGAAGCACATGGACACAAGACAATGAGCCTTTAACAGTAACCGGGATATCCCAAAGTAGAACTAATGTTTCCCAAAATGGGGGCACTCAGTCCTTCCGTTCTACAAAGGAAACCAGCATCTCTGTTTAGGAGGTGTATAACCGTAGGCACCCTATGCCTTCTCTTGGTGCCTCAGTTTCTACCTCCCATCGCTGGTAGGTACTCTCTGGCTCATAGACTTGAAAGCAATCTAGAAATACCAACTGTCTAAGACCAGCATTTCCTTTCATGGGTTCCCCTTGTGGAGCTAAGCCACCTCCCCTAACTAGTAAGCAAGAAGCAGGAGGATTCACCTTTTTCATATTTCCTTGCTAGTTCCAAACATAATTATTAGATTCAAGGAAGTGAGGGAGGCAGACATTTGAACATCACTAAAGCAGTAAGGGTATCTGGCTGTTGTTGTGTGCAGTTGAGTTGGTTAAGACTCATAGCGACCCTGTATAGACTCCCAACAAGATGCGTAGGCTCAGCGGCAGCAGCAATGGGCTCAAGCACCCCAATTGTGAGGATGGTCCAAGACTGGGTAGTGTTTTTTTCTGTTGTGCATTGGGTCGCTATGAGTTAGAATCAACTTGATGGCACCTAACAACAACAACAACAACAGCATAGGGTTTCTAAGGCTGGTGGGTTTGAACTGCTGACTTTGTGGTTAGCAGTCTAGTGCTTATCTACAGTGCCACACCAAGGCTCATGTGTATCTGACTCTTATTGTTGTTGTGAAGTGCTATCGAGTTGGTTCCAACCCATGGAGACCCTATATAGGGTTTCCAAGGAGTAGATGGTGACTTTGAACCGCCGACCTTGCTGTTCAAACAGCTTTATAGTCTGACACATTAACCCATAGTGCCACACCAGGACACTGTGTATCTGACTAGGCAGCAGTTAATCAAGAGTTATTGTTGTTAAGTGCCTTTGAGTCAGTTTTGACTCATAGCAACCCTACATAGGGGTTCTGAGGAGCAGCTAGTGAACTTCAACTGCTGGCCTTGAGGTTCAAATCAACCTGGCAGTCCAGCGCAGTAACCCACAGTACCACACCAAGACTCCTAATTAAGAGCAGATTCCTTCAGTGACTAGAGGAAGACATTAGAAGTGTCTGCATGGATACCCCACCACTGCAGCATGTGGGAGGACTATAATTCACACATTAGCACTTATTGGGAAATCATTTTAATATCAGAAGAAAGTACAGTAGCAATGAAACCAATCTCCATGCAGCCAGAATGCCAAGACATTTCACAGGTGCCCAGGAGCACTGTAATGAAACGGCATCCAGACGATTTGAATAATTTTAATTTAATTCTAAGTCAATTTGTTTGACTTCATATCTACTAAAGTCAACTCTGATGGATGTGATTTTAATTAACTGACATTTCATAAATAAAATAAATATCCCCCTCCCCCAATCCACCCTTCAGGCAACTGTTTATCTTACAGAGACACATTTTTCTGCTGAAGGAATATTCTCTGCAAGATAAATTTGGTTCCAGGAGGACATCATGGGAAGGGCTTTAGAAGCCAGGAGTTTATTTTTGATAAAGGAAACCACATACTTAGGCAGTATCTTCAAAACTGTAAAATTCAAGAGTGAATGGGAGCTCAAAAAAATACTAATTTTTGTTGTTTTTAAGTGCCCTTGAGTGGTTTCTGACTCATAGTGACCCAGGATAGAGTTTCAGAGGAGTGGCTGGTGGGCTTGAACTTCTGACCTTGTGGTTAACAGATTAGTGTTTTTCCTACAGCACCATGCCAGGACTTTCATTTTAGTGAACAAATCCATAATAAAGAGATGAAGGGAGAGTAAAGCCCTCTGATTATAAAAGAAATAAAAAACACCCGTAAAACTCATACAACTGGAGGACATTTTAGATAAAAATAGTTATGTGCCGTGGAGTCGATCCCGACTCATAGTGACCCTATATGGGTTTTCAAGGCTCATAGTGACCCTGTATAGGGTTTTCAAGGCTGTAAATCTTTACTGGAGCAGAAAGCCTCATCTTTCTCCCATGCAACCACTGGTAGTTTCAAACTACTCACCCTGAGGTTAGCAGCCTGACTTGTAACCACTATGCTACCAGAGCTCCTTTTAGATAGAAATAGTAAACAGAAAGAAGGCTTTTGCTTTGGAGAGTATGGGTAGACTCTATATTCTTCACCTATATATAACTGTTGTTGTTAAATGCTGTCAAGTCAGTTCCAACTCATAGTGACTCTGTTTAGGGTTTCCGAGGAATGGCTGATGGGTTTGAACCACCGACTTTATGGCTCAAACTGACCTTGCAGTTCAGTGTATTATTCGGCAGTGCCACACCAAGTTCTAGAAAAACCAGGTTCTTGATAAACTAAAACAAATATTTTTAAATGAAATCTTGAAATTGATAGAAAGTAAAGGAATTTTCCAAGATCCCTCTCCCTTGCAAAACTTGTTGTTGTTGTTAAGTGCCTTTGAGTCGCTTCCAACCCATAGTGACCCTGTATGGGGTTTCCGAGGGTGTAAATCCTTACGGGAGTAGAAAGCCTCATCTTTCTCCCACAGAGTGGCTGGTAATTTTGAACCGCTGACCTTAAGGTTCGCAGCCTGATTCGTAACCACTACGCTACCACAGCTCCTTGCAAAACTAATAAACAAAAAAATCAATATAATGGACTTGAACAAGGTAAAAAAAACTTCTCCCCTTCAAAGACTATGTAATGAAACAAGAAAAGGCAAGTCATAGTCAGGAAGAAAATATTTGTAAAATGTAGATTTAACAAGGGTTTGTATTGGTAATATATAAAGAATTTGTAACACAAATAAGAAAATAAATTATTTAATTTTAAAATAGGAAAGAGAGTCCCTAGGACCATCAAGGGAGAAGAGCAGAGAGCGGGACCATACCCAGAGAAGCAGTGATGCCTGAAATGGAGCCAAAGATGATGACGTGGAGCTATGGAGCAGCTGGAGACTTTAGATCCAGAGAGGGAGAGTGACTGTGTGCTGAAGACCTGGGGGGCACGGGGGAAGGATTGCATGGAGGGGATTGTAACCATGGCAATGAGACAATATATGATAGAATGAATGTAAAACTAATGTTCTCCCATGTATACTATCACATAATTCACAATAAATCATAAAAAAAAAAATAGGAAAGAGATTTGAATAGACATTGCACCAAAGAGGTTCTATGAATGGCAAAATGTACATGAGAAGAGTATTAGCATCATTAGTCATTAGAAAATGCAAATTAGAATGACAATGAAATGCTATTACATGCACTAGTATGGTTAAAATTAAAAGGATAGATAATGCCACGCGTTGGTGAGGATGTAGAGAAACTGGAACTCTCGTCCAATTCTGGTTGAAATTTAAAATGGTGCAATTAATTTGGAAATCAGTTTGGAAGTCCCTTTAAAAGTTAAATCTCTACCATTTACTTGACTAAGTAATGGGCTCAAACATAGCAATGATTTTGAGGTTGATACAGAACCAGGTAGTGTTTTATTCTGTTGTGCATGAGGTTGCTATGAGTTGGTACCGACTCGATGGCACCTAACCACAATATCACTTGGTTAAGACATTTCCTGCCTAGGTATTCTCAAGAGAAATAAAAGTATATGGCCACAATACAATAGAAATAAATACCAACAACAATAAAAAGAATCCCCAAATATTTGGAAATTTAAAAATATATCTTTAAATAAATCCTAGGACAAAGAAGAAACCATAGGGAAATTTGAAAATGCATTGTTATTGCTGTTAAGTACCATAGAGTCAGTTCTGACTCACAGCAACCCTGTATAAGGTTTCCAAAGAGTGGCTGGTGGGTTTGAACCACTGATTCTGTGGTTAGCAGTTCAGTGCTTATCCTACAGTGCCACACCAGGACTCCAACTGAGAAATAACTCGAATGCTACATATTGAAACTTGTGGGATGTTTTGCAGTGGTACTTTGTGGGAAATTCATGTCTCATTGTTGATATTCAAAAAGAAAGGAGACATATTAATGAGGTAAAAAATACAACCCAAGAAGTTAGAGAGTCACAGAATAAGCTCCAGAAAAGAGGAAAGAACAATCTAACAATGAACAGGAAATAGTAAACAATGGGGCATTAAAGAATATTGAATGACAGACAGAAAGATTCCCTTTTCATTCTCCTTTTCAACCTTCTGATAACCACAGGAGAAAGTCTCCGTTTGGAGCTAATTACTCTTTAACACATCTCTGTCCTTTGTGGACCCCAGTTTATAACAAATGGAGACCAGGTCTGAGGCTCAGCTTGGGGAGCCATAGTACAAGGGGTCTGCACACAGTTCATGGAACACTTCTCTTTTAATTCCATGTTTCCACACATTTTTTGAAGCCCCTTGTAGGTAGCTAGAATTTAATAATGTTTTTTCCTTTCAATTATATTTATTTTTAATAATTAGCTTTGTTTGTGAAAAGCATGGAATGGTTTTCTCCTTACACTGTGATATAAAATTTCCCTGTAAAAATAAGTGTTTATGGTTTTTTTCTTTTAAGTAACTCAGTTTAAAGAAAACAGTAATAGTGATGTTTCATTAAAAACAAAACAAACCCATAAAATGTCATGTTAATTCTGGGTCATAGCGACCCTATAGGGCAGTCGAACTGCTGCCCTATAGGGTTCCCAAGGCTGTGATCTTTAAGGTATTGGACTGCCACACCTTTCTCCTATATACAGAGTACCTGGTGGGTTCAAACTGTTGACCTTTTACGGTTAGCAGCCAAGAGTTTGACTGTTGCGCCACCAGGGCTGTGAAAGAAGTGCTCAAATGATGAAGGTTAGGGGAACACTGGTCTACAATAAGGGGAAATATTTATTCTGAAACCTTGTCCACGTTCCCTGAGTAAGCCACAATGATTGGCATATAGCCAGACTCTGACATTCATTCTTTTCTCAAAAATGATCATAACCTTAACTGTTTAACCCAGAATTTAAATTCCAAAACTAGTTCCCCAATACTACTCAACATAAAAACCAGTGTTGATTTTAAGTGCCATCGAGTCAGTTCTGACTCATAGCAACCCTATACAGGGTGTCTGAAGAGTGGCTGATAGGTTTGAACTGCCAATCTTGTGGTTAGCAGTCCAGTGCTTATCTTATAGCACCACACCAGGACCTCAAAAAACCACACAGGCCACAATTAAAGGACCAAGGATGATTAAGTGGGATGGGTTAATAACAAACATGAGACAAGTGAATGAGATTATTGGAAAGATGGGAATGGTGGGGACGGAAAATTGAAGAGTCATGCCCATTGTAAAGACAATGGCTGATACTTAGTTCATACTGAACTCTTGGCACAGAAAAATGCTTGCTCAGTGTTGCCAGGTCTTTTGATTTTCCATTGAGAAGCCAGAAATCTGGACTGTTATTGAAAATCGTGCCATTTTTAAATGATGAAGATAAAAACATAAATTAAAAAATCCAGTTCCGCAAGTAAGAATCAGCCTTTGGGCTGCCAGTTTGAAGCCTGTGAGCTAGTCCAAGTCTCTTATTTGACTAATAAAGAAACTGAGGTCCAGAAGGAGAAAGAACTTCACCTGTGGTCACATAGTAAATTAGGTCAAACCAGAACTAGAACCCTGGTCTGTTGACCACCTGGTCAATGCTCTTTTAGGACCCTTTTAATTTGGAGCACGGTACTCAGAATTAAACTGTGTTAGGGAGCCCTGGTGTGGTGCTATAGAATAAGCAATGGACTGCTAAACCGAAAGCAAACTGCAAAATTTGGCAGTTCAAACCACCAGTTGCTCCTTGAAAACTCTATAAACAGGATTACTATGAGTTAGAACTGATTCAACAGCACTTAATAGCCACAACATTCCTCCCTTGGAAGCCATAGGGTTTCCTAGACTATAGGGTAAGCACTAGACTGCTAACCATAAAGCAGGTGGTTCAAACCCACCAGTCACTCCCCAGAAACCCTACACAGTCTCACTATGAGTCCAAACTAACTGGACAACACTTTATAACAACATTTCTCAATTGCAAGGCAGTAGAACCAATGTAGAAGTTTTCATGACAAATTTCTCACTAGGTTTCTTTTCTCCCATCCCAGGAAAGGAATTTTTTTCCTCCTTTAGGTGTAGAATGGTCAGGCCATCCATGACCCCAAACAAGCCACTCACAGAAAAACCCAGAAACTTACTTTGATTGAAGGGGTCGGTCGCTGGAATACATCCAGCGGTTGGAGCTGTTGCTGAGCACAGTGTCAGTCATGGCTGAAGTCTAGTCCTCCTGAAAAACACCAACCCAGAGAACATATCACTCACTCATTTGACCACTCCTTATTTCTTAAGCCCTTACTATGTGCCAAACACTCTAGGGGCATACAGAGAAGAGAAGAAAGGAAACTTCATTTGGCTTCTCCATTTTCTAGATGGGGAAACTAGAAACCCAAGAGGCTGAAACTCACAGCTACATAGTGGTAGAACTGGTCCAGGACAGAGAGCTTCCTCCCTTAAATCCAAGTTCTTCCCAATTCACTGTTCCTCCAAGGCTCATTTTCTTTTTCTTGTTTTAATTCACTACATCTAAGCCATCAAAAAATCCTGTTGTCTTGGTCTTCAAAATAGACTCAGGATTGGTCCATTTCTTCTTGCCTACACTGCTGCTATCTGGGTCTAAACCACTACTACCTCCGTCCAACTTACTGCAGTGGTCTTCTCCTCTCTGGTTTCTGTGCATCTACCCTTGACCTGTTGTAGTCCATGGTTCTTTAAAAAATCAAAATCACAGTATGTAAAACTGGCATGATCACCATTAAACAGAGTTCCTATAAGATCCAGCAATTCCGCTCCTAGGTGTAGCCCCAAGAGAAATGAAAACATATAGCCACACAATAATTTGGGCACAAATATTTATAGCAGCATTATTCATAATACCGCCAAAGTGGAAACACCCCACACATTCATCAACTGATGGATGGCTAAACAAACTGTGGTCTATCCATACAATGGAACACTACGCAGCAATCAAAAGAAATGAAGTATTGATTCATGCTACAACACGGACGAACCTTGACAACATTATGCTGAGTAAAAGAAGCCAGTTACAAAAGGCCATATATTGTATAATTCCCTTAATATGAAATGCCCAGAATGGGCAAGCCCTTAGAGACAGAAAGCAGACTAGTTATGGCCTAGGATTGGGGGGATGGGGGGGTGATCACTAAGGGGTTATTGTTACTGTTGTTGTTGAGAGCCTCAGTACCCTCTTACTCATATTCTGACTCAGCAGAACTGCCTCCGTAGAATTTCCTAGGCCACAATATTTTTTGTGTGTGTTTTTAAAAAGCTAAAGTGGATAGAAATACTTTTTTAAAAAAAAAAAATTTTTTTTAAGGTTTTTATTGTGGATTGAGTGAAAGTTTACAGGGCACATTATCAATTTCACATTTAACCATTCATATGACTTGTTTCATTACATTGATTATAATCCCCTCCATACAACATCAGTTAACAGTGTTTCTCTCTATCTTCTTGAGCTTTTTTTTGGGGGGGTGGGGAGGTTGGAGGGAGGGGCAGAAACTTTGCCTTTTTGGAATTTACAGTCTCGGCTTTTAGGGAAGGTTTTTAACATTTATCTGTGGATATCCAGGGCTCATGTATGCGATTACTAACAAGCATAACTGAATAATCAGATGAGGGACAGTTTGCTATGTCTGCTAGGTGGCTAAAGTCTGATTCTCAGAGCCTATGGTTTGGATGGTCTGCAACGCTTGGGCCCACAGGGACTTGAACTCCTGACCGGGTCTGCACGGTCTGCATCAGATTCCCCCTTATTTATTATTTGTTTAAGGGACGCTGCCTGTCTTAGGCTAGGCTACAATATTTATGGAAGCAGATTGCCAGCTCTTACTCCCATAGAGTCACTAAGTGGATTTGAACTGCTAACCTTTCAGTTAGCAGCTGAGAACTTAACCACTACACCACAGGGCTCCTTAACTAATGACTGCAGGATTTCTTTTTTGAGTAATGCAAATCTCCTAAAATTGATTGCAATGGTGAATACACAGCTCCGCAAACATAGTTTCCACGTTTTGTGAGTGAATTATGTGGTATGAGAATTATATCTCAAGAGGATTGTTTTGGAGTCCTGGTGTGGTGCTGTAGGACAAGTACTGGACTGCTAACTGTAAGGTCAATGGTTCAAACCCACCAGCTGCTCTTCCGAAACCCTATCCAGGGTCGCTAAGAGTTGGAACTGACTTGATGGCTCTTAACAACAAAACAAGATTATTTTTTTAAATGGTGCCACCATATTAGAAAACTGTTTGGTAGTGTCTACTAAAGATAAATATTTATCTACCTTCTGACCCAGATATTCTACCCTCGGGGTTACACCTACAAGAAAAGTACTAATGTTCTAAGACATGTGCAAGGATGTTCATGGCAGCTTCGTTCATTATAGGCAAACCCAAAAACTATCCAAATGTCCTTCAATGAGAAAGTGGATAAATACATGTGGTGTGACCATCCATAGAGTTGAGTACTGATCCGCAATAAGAGACAAACTGTTGATAAGTAGTTTATGCTGATAGTAACAGATCTCACAGAAATGATGTTTCGTGATAGAAGTCAGATACAAAAATATACATTGAGCAACAACGTTTACATGAAGTTTTAACACAGCCATCATTATATGATGTGAAAGAAATCAGATAAATTCATCATTGTCTTTGGGGAGAGTATTGCTTGGGGAGGGGCATTAGGGATTTCTGTGAGGTGAAAATGTCTTGTGCCTTAATCTGGGTGGTGGTTAAACAGCTGTGTACATGTGTAAAGACTTATCAAGCTAAATACTTAAGATTTGTCACTCTATATCCTTCACAGTGTGTGTTTCTCCAATAATAATAAGAACACAGAGTTCCCTCCATCCCCAAAGAAATAAGTCAGTTTATGACCTCCTTTTGCTCAAGAGTCTTCAATGACTTCCCACTGCTCCTAGAATAAAATCCAAACTCTTTAGCACTATCTTGTGCCCCATGACCTCCCACTTCTCTCTGCCTACCTACCCTTTGCCCCTCAGACTCTTCTCCAGCCTCACAGATCTTCTGGCTGCTCCTTGAACATGCCACATACTTTCTCAGTTGTCCTTTCTTCTTTCCTCTGCCTGGAACTTTCCCAGAAGCTACTGGTCAGCTCATTCTCTCCCTTTGTTCAGTTCTATTCTCCAGTGCCCCCTCCACAAAGAGCCCACCCCTGACCACTCATTTAAAATGAGATCCACCCCAACTCTAGCTTCCTTTGCCTTGATTAGCTTTCTTCATATCTCTTACCACTGTCCAAATGTATAAAAAACCCAAATTCACTGCCATCAAGCCAATTCTGACTCATAGAGGCCCTGTAAGTCAGAGTAAAACTGCCCTGTAGGATTTCCAAGGCTGTCAATCTATATGGGAGCAGACAGTCTCATCTTTGTTCTGAGGAACAGCTGGGATGTTTGAAGCACCAATCTTGTCTCTTTGAGTACACACACACACAGTTGGTGGTAACATTGGAACACGTTTTGTCCATACTTGTGAAGTTAAGTCTATAAGGAAAATGAAGATGTGATCTGATAGGATCTACAAAATGTATTGCTGTTGTTATTAAGTGCCGTCTGGTGGATTCTGACTCATAACAACCCTGTATAGGGTTTCCAAGGAGCAGCTGATATAATATGTCTTATGTATATTTTTTATTTGCCTCCAGTTTGACTCCCCCCTGCTAAATATGTAAGCTCCTTGCTGAACTTCTTTCTATTTTGTTCACTGCGTCCTCTCCAGTATGTAGCACAGTGTTTTTAAGTGCCATTAAGTCAGTTCCAGCTCATAGCAACCCTGGATAGGGTTTCTGAGGGTGGCTGATGGGTTGAACTGCCAACTTTGTGGCTTGCAGTCCAGAGCTTACCCTACCCTTCCACACCAGGGCTCACAGTGTTTTTGTTGTTGTTAAGTGCTAGTGAGTCAGTTCCAACTCATAGCAACCTTGTATAGGGTTTCCGAGCAGCAGCTAATGAGCTTGAACCACTAACCCTGAGGTTCAAGATGACCTTGCAGTCCAGTGAATTAACCCACAGTGCCATACCAGGACTCCTTAGAGCTCACATGTTGTTGTTAAGTGCCATCAAGTTGGTTCCAACTAATAGCAACCCTGTATAGGGTTTCCAAGGAGTGGCTGGTGAGTTTGGACCGCCAACCTTGCAGTTTAAACTGACTTTGCAGAGCTGAACTCACATAGACGTCACTTAATAAATTGTTTTTGAATAAGTGACTGAGTTCCCACTAACACTACATAAACCTAACTGAAATTGTCCATGTTTTCTCTTACATACTGTCTGAACCATCCCCCCGCCCACACACTCACACATATAGACAGGACTAGTCAGAGTAAAGGGAATGAGGCCATGGAGGTTACATTTAAATATATACACACAAACAGGGAGTGTATAATTGTAGCTGGTGGGCCCTGGTCTCCTGGAATGTTTGGTTACAAACAGCGTCTTCTTTTCATTTTGAGGGTAGGGTGGCAAGGGGTAGAAGCAAAAAGTTAGGGTTAGGATTTTGGCTAGGCCTAGGATTTTGTTTCGTGTTTGCATTATGGTTATGATTAGGGCTTTTGTTAGGGATAGAAGTTGGGATAGGACCAAGAGTAAGGTTTAGTCTAGTTTAAGAGTTATGGTTGCTGGTTGTGTGCCACCAAGTCAGTTTTGACTCATAGCCACCCTGTATAGGGTTTCTGAAGCTGTAAATCTTTACAGGAATGGAAAGTCTCAGCTTTCTTCCATGGAACCACTGGTAGATTCGAACTGTTCACCTAGTGGCTAGCATTCCAGCTCGTAATCCACTATACAACCAGGGTTCCTTTTAAGGGTTATAGTTAGATTTTTTTTTTTCTTTCCTGAAATCTACTTGATTTCCATTTTATTTGGAAGTTCTGTGACTACAGTATTCCCTCTTTTTACTTTACAGGCTTTGTTGTTGTTGTTGTTGCAAACTAGTATCTCTGGTTCCCTACTTTCAGTTTTGTAGGTTGGTTTTACTTTGAATACTTCTCTATCTGTTTTGAGTTCTTGGTGATATTGTCATGTTTGTTATTCTCAGGTTGTTGTCTGTTGTTGTTGGTTCTCTGTCCAAAGAACTCCCGTTAGCATTTTTTGTAAGTTTGGTCTGTGTTTTGTAAATTCTTTTCATTTGTTTATTTGGAAATGTCCTAATGTCGCCATCATGTTCGATGGAC